CGGCGCGGCTCCGGCGGGCGGGCGGTCGGGCGGCTCCCTTCTTCGCCGGCCAGGCTCGGCTGGGCGCTGCTAGTCCACACCGGGGTTGTAGGGATTGGGAAAGAAGCGACGGAGGCTGACAGACGCGACCGAGGCAGCCCCGCCCGGCGATGGGCCGGCTCTGCACGGGAGGCCGGCTTCCGGATTAAAGGCACAGGCGCGGAGAAGTGAGGAAGAGGAAGGTGAGCGGCAGAGTAGCTGCTGCTGCCGCCGCCGCCACTTCTCTCCTCTCCTCTAGACACGAAGGGGGTCCCCCCAAATCTGTCCTGAATGCCGACGGATCAATGCTGGGAAGTGTAAACGTAAAAGCAAGAGGTCCTTGTGAGCGTGTTCAGAGTGCGTCACCGAGCTGCAAAACGCACCTAGAATTAATTAATTGGAGAGGTTTCACGTCGAATCCGGCAGAAGGAACCCCCCTGACCATTTTCTTCTTATTCTGATTGAATGCCCCAGGGCGTGATGACCAGGCAGACAAACTAATCGGTGATGAACAATACTCAGTCTAGCAGGTAGAGAGGAGCTACCTTGGAACATGGCGGCACTGCTGAAGAAAAAGCCAGGGAATAACTTGCAAGGCGAGCTTGTACCCCTGAAATGTTATTTTGTCTGCTAAAACTGGACTTTGCGTGCCAATACTCCAGTTGCTACTTTTGTTTTTTTTCTGGTAGTCTTAGGGCCCTTGATGTGAGAATCTTAACAAGTTAACTCACTTTTTAAAAAACACTCTTGTTGAATCCTTGCATAACAAAGAGCTATTAAATGTACAAAAGGCCTGCCAACTGGAAGAAAGTGTGGTAATATTGGTCCTGGCTGGCCTCCTCACATGGGAACTGAATTTCACAACCTTTCTAATGTGCTCTCAGGTTTGGACTTCTGAACATTCAGTATTTTAAAAGAGAAATGTGCTGTGCTGACTACAATGCACTTTTATTAAAAATGTGAACACTGTATTCCCTGCTGCGTTCCGATTGTGTCGTCACCTATAGAATCAGCTCCTGCAAAGGCATGTCCTCACCTTCTTTGAGCTTCGGCTGTCTTGCATTCAGAATGCTCCACAGGGATCGATGAATCAAGGAAGGATCAAAGTGCCATGAAATGGCAAAATCCCAGAGTCTGGACAGCCATAGGTTTAATGCAAACCCATAGTGTGATGATAAACTTATTCCATAATAATCAAACAGCAGGCCCTCAATAGTATCTCCCGATATGGGCTCAGCTGCCTTTTTTGCCCAATTCAAAACAGAATATTGGAAAGTTACTTTTAAAAATAAATTATACACAGTTACACTTTTAAGAACCAACAACTACTTTACTAAAATTAAAACTGTATTTTAAAAGTAGCGGTTTGCGACATTAACTAAACTGTGAGTAGTCATTACTTTAGAAGTACGTACACCTCAGAGTACTGCAAGCCACTGGTAAAAAAAAGACATCTAGATAATGAGGCCACATACATTCAGCAAGTATAATTGCAGCTGAAAACACAAGTAAGGGTGGGTGATGCCTTTATTAGACCACTAAAAAAAGTACAAGTAAATGCTAGTTTTCAGGATGATACAGGTCTTCATGAGGCTAGGCATCAGTTGTTGTCACACCACATAAGTGATGAAGCTATCCCTCATTATATCACAATTGAAATGTAGCTTGGCTATTTCTTAGAGACTGTAGAAAAGAAATCATTAACAACCTAATTAATTCAAACTCTTATTCAATGTGCTGCTTTGACCTGTTAAAGACGGGAAACTCCTCAGTGCTGCCAACTTTACAAAGTGCCTCTTTCTTCTATATGTTCTGTGTTTCTTCCTGAGTATATCAGTAGCAGAACCTTTGCTTTGCATCTTCTTATTTGGTGGGGGAGGGCAGCCGGCACGGGGGACTTTTAGCTTAAAGGCATGGCAGCCATGTTATGGAGTCGATTTCCATAGAAGTTCTTTTCACCAGCTGCTAAATGAATTCTTACTAATTTTCTTCTTACTTTTCTGTCAAGCTGGCTTCTTGTTTGGCTTCGATAATATGAGTAGCTTTTTTTTCTCCTTCAGCTTTAATTTCTGCTAGTCTTTCCAGCATTACTTTTTAAAGCTGTATGTTTTGAATTTACTAACAGATTGATATACAGTACTGTATATTACTGTCGTGAATAAGTTTCACTCCTTCAATTGTAAGTTTGCAAACAGACAAAATTTATTTAGAGAAAGAAGTTGGATATATTATTGGCAGCCACCTATGTCCTGTCATTCTGTGACTGGTTCTCCATAGTAAGTATGCTGTTTCCATTCATACGTATGAGGCAAAGTGCATTTTCCTTATTGGACTGAATACATTTCTATCACATTTTTCCTTTAAGGAATTCAAGGTAGCGTGTCTCCCCATTTTATTGCCACAACAAGCCAAGTGGATAATTTGAAGTTTCCTGTGTGATTTCACAGTTTGGCACCCTTGAACCAAATGAATGAAAATTATGTTTCCTTTAGTTGTTTAACCAATAAGGAAAAGATGTTTAACCAGAATAGCTAATAAGGTTATTCATATTATGTAAACAGAAGTAAAATGACAAATTCATGATAGTTATTCAACTCCTTCACCCTTCTGTTGGACTGGAGTCAAACAGGAATATATGTGTGAAAAATATGCATATTTTTTCTGCTTTGGCTGTTTATTATAGAAATAAAATTTCCTGCATTAAAGCATTTGAAACTTACACCTTCCAGTTGCACACCATCAATAATCACAAGCTGCAGTGGCATAATGAGCCACCATAGTAAATAAATCAGCCGTGGTTTTCTCTTGGCATATTACTGTGGTTTATCAGTGGGGATAGTTCATGGTTTGCATGTTAAAAGGAGATTACTAATTTGTATAGACACTCCTGCTTGCATTTAAGAGTAAGTGGGCAAGGTAAATGAACAGGTTGCTCACAAGCAATAAGTCAAGGTTTATTATTGCCTCTAAACTGGGCTATTGATTCAGAGAGAGAAAATAACCTAAGCTATCTACATGGTATTAGGCCCTAATATAGGCAAATTCCAGTTACAAACACTGATGAAATTCTCTGTAAAATCTACAAGAATCTCAGTGAAATCTGTGTTGGTTTTCTAATACAGCAGGACACCCATTACTGTGAAGCCTCAGGGCATACTGAAAAACGCAGGTAGCTGTGAACACTATACAGTATATATACAGTACTGTTCCTGTTGTGATGTGTCGTGATGTATGGAAGTGAGAGCTGGACCATAAAGAAAGCAGACCGCCGAAGAATTGATGCCTTTGAATTGTGGTGCTGGAGGAGGCTCTTGTGAGTCCCCTGGACTGCAAGGAGATCAAACCTATCCATTTTGAAGGAAATAAACCCTGAGTGCTCACTGAAAGGACAGATCTTGAGGCTGAGGCTCCAATACTTTGGCCATCTCATGAGAAGAGAAGACTCCTTGGAAAAGACCTTGATGTTAGGAAAGTGTGATGGCAAGAGAAGAAGGGGACGACAGAGGATGAGATGGTTGGACAGTGTCTGCGAAGCAACCAACATGAAATTGACACAACTCCGGGAGGCAGTGGAAGATAGGAGGGCCTGGCATGCTCTGGTCCATGGGGTCACAAAGAGGCGGACACAACTAAACGACTAAACGAACAAACTGTATAGGAGGAAAAAATAGGGAAAATTATTTTCACATGCATTACTAGAACAGGCCACTAGAGGGTAGTACTGCAAACCAAAAAGCCAGAGAATAACTGTAAGGCAAGCTTGTACCCTTGAAATGTTATTTTGTCTCCTAAAACTGGACTTTGCATGTCAATATTCCGGTTGCTACCACAGTGGCAGTACTGGTCCATTTCCTGTCTTTCTCCTCAACCAGGACTGTCCTGGGACTGCACTGCCTTGTAGGGACGGAGCCCATGGGGGCAACAAAGCCTTCTTCCCCAACTTTTCTTACAGCCATCATTCAGCAGGATGCAGTGGCTTTCCTTTTGTGTTGTTAAAGAAAGCAAGTGGCATATCAAAAGAGCAGTGCATCAACCTAGCATGGTATTGAGAATTGTGTGGGGTTTTTTTTTTTAAAGGAAAAATAAATAAAATAAATAAATAAAATATTGAGAATTGTGTGGGTTTTTTTTTTAAAGAAGACGAAAATAGAGGCAAGACTTTCTCCATCCTCCCTTTTAATCTTACAACTCCACCTATTGCCTCACAGGGTTGTCATTTCTGATAAGGTGTTCACTAAAAGATAGATTTCCAGTAATCAATGCTTGTAAACAGAGAGACTCCTTCCCCAAAGATATGCGACTGTGAATAGGATTGTGTTTCAAATCTTTCTTTTTGCGAATACTGATACTGTATTATCAAACCTTGTGTTTTGTTTCAGCTCTTCCACAGCATCAGCGGTACCCTATATAGGGAATGCCATGGCTTCCTAGCAGGA